CCCTAAGAAACATTGATGCAGGTACAGGGGAAGCCCCTGGGAGGCCTCAATCCAGTGCAGCTTCTCCCCTGTTGGGAGGCTTGGTCCACTGCTGCCCCTGACCCTGGCTCTTCTCACCTTCAGGGCTGGAGCAGCATCTACTCTGGGGGTCTGGGCTGAAGCTGCTCCCTCCCCAGCACCCGCCCTTGAGTGTGACACTCATCATTGCCTGGGACTCAGAAACTGTGGTTCCCCCAAGAACAGCCCCAGGTCTTGGGAGAGGAAGGAACCATTTTTAAATACAGTGTCCCCAGCCGCTCCCTTTCAGGCCCCACCTGATCCTGCACCTGCCATGGCCTCTAAACAGAGGCAGCCTCAGACCACATCTTTCTGTGGTGGGAAATCTGGGTCTGGCTGGATCCTGGGGATGCTGTGGGACTGGGCTGGGCCAGGCCTCTCCAGTAGGTGCAGCTGCAGCTCTGACCACCCAGGCTTATCTCACCCCTTCCTGGACTGAGATGTGTCCAGGCCTGGACAGAGGAGGCTGGGTCCTGCTGTTCTGCTCAGTGCCCTCTCTTTTTAGGGTCCCTGGTGCCTCTGCAGAGCCCTCTGGGTCCCGCCTGGCTCTCCTCCCTCAGAACACAGGTGAGTGCCCCATCCAGTCACCTCCGCCCTGCTCCGGTGTTCGTGGGTGTCCCCCACTCTGGTCTCCTGCTGGTCAGTCCCCTGCCCACTCTCTCTGCCCCAGGCCTCAGAGACTCCACCTGCACCACCAAGGATCCCTCTCTCTCAGGCTGTCTCCAGAGGACATACAGGACCACTTTCCCCAGGACCCAGAAGTGAAGGTTCTAGAAACCCTCAGGTTCTCAGGGTCACTGGAAGTGGTCTCTGCTATTTTGGCAGCTTCAAAATATTCTTCAAAGCCAGGAAGTCTTGAGGTTTCCTTGGACACGAGGATGATGATGTAGCTACCATTATTTATGGCCAGGGTGATGTTTAATTTTATGTGTCAACTTGGCAGGGCCACAGTGCCAGATATTTGGTCAAACATTATTCTGATGTTTCTGTGGCATTATTTTGTGGGTGGGATTAACATTTAAATTTTACATTTCCCAAATCTGTGAAAATTGAACAAGAGTTTTTTTTTGAGACAGGGTCTCAATGGTACAATCGTAGCACACTGCAGCCTCATCCTCCAGGGCTCAAGGAATCCCTCCCACTTCAGCCTCCCAAAGGGCTGGAATTTAAGTTACCAATTTCCCTCTATGTGCTGATTTATCCATATCCTATGAATTTTTATGCGGTGGTCTCATCATTGTTC